GGGCCTTCATCCTGACGACCTGGAACAATCCAGCAACCCTATGGTCGGCTTCAATGGAACGCCGACATGGCCACTGGGCGCAGCAAGCGTAGAAGTACAAGCGGGTACTAAGAAGATCAAGACAGAATTTATGGTGATTGACACACCCTCACTACATAACATCATCTTGGAAAGACCATGGTTGCATGCAATGGGGGCAGTTCCCTCAACATTGCATCAACTACTACGGTTCCCAACAGAGCATGGGATTGAAGAAGTCAGAGGAGATAAACTGCAGGCAAAAAGTTGCTCCATGGCAGCAATGAAGTCTACTTGCTGCATTCGAGAGCCAAAAGAGGCAGAGATTGAAGACGAGGACATGGAGGTCCTAGATGATGTCGGCAATGAGCCAACCGAAAAGAGTGAAGAGACACTAAAGAAAATCCTTGTCTAGGAGGGAGACGAAGAATGCTTCTTTCTTCTCGGCTCAGGCTTAGCCGAAGAAGAGGAAAGAGAACTGGAAGATTTTTTGAGAGCCAACATTGAGGTGTTCGCCAGGACACCTTACGAAATGCCTGGCATTGACCCCGAGGTCACTTGCCACAGACTGAATGTCGACAGGTCGAGAAAACCTGTGATTCAACGAGCCAGAAGACCGACGCTGATGCACGTCGAAGCAGTAGAAGAAGAAGTAGACAGACTTCTAGCGGCCAGGGCCATCCGAGAAGTTCACTACCCGACATGGCTGTCCAACACAGTAGTAGTGAAGAAGAAGAACGGCAAATGGAGGGTCTGTGTAGACTTTACCAGCCTCAACAAAGCCTGCCCCAAAGACAGCTTTTCTCTGCCCAAGATTGACCAGCTAGTAGATGTAACTTCAGGGCATGAAAGAATGAGTTTTTTGGATGCATACAGGGGGTACCACCAGATTGCCATGTACCCTCCAGACGAGGAGAAGACCGCGTTTATCACCCCTAAAGGCCTGTACTGTTACAAGGTAATGCCTTTCGGGTTGAAAACGCAGCAGCAACTTACCAAAGGTTAGTAACAAAGATGTTCAAGCACCTGATTGGCAAAACAGTAGAAGTCTACATCGATGACATGGTCGTGAAGACCAAGGAATCAAAGGGTCATCTTGCTGACCTAAAAAAGGTCTTTGATATACTCAAAACATACCGGCTCTGACTCAACGCATCAAAGTGCGCGTTTGGAGTTGGATCAGGTAAGTTTTTAGGGTATCTGGTAACAAGAAAGGGCATTGAGGCCAGCCCAGACCAAATCAAGGCCATCCTAGAGCTGAAAAGCCCGACGTCGGCAAAACAGGTTCAGATGCTTACTGGAAAGGCCGCAGCCCTAAACAGATTCATTAGCAGAAGCTCAGATAAGTGCAGACCCTTTTTCAACCTGGTGAAAAAAGCCACAGACTTTCTGTGGACAGAAGAATGCGAAGCCGCTTTGACCGACCTGAAGAAGTACTTGACCACAACTCCGGTTCTTTCCAATCTAGAACCAGGGGAAAAACTGTTTTTGTACTTGGCAGTTTCAGAACACGCAGTCAGTGCAGTACTAATCCGAGAAGAAAAAGGGGAGCAAAAGGCCGTTTACTATGTAAGCAAAACCTTGGCCAACGCAGAAACAAGGTATCTACCACTGGAGAAATTAATGCTAGCCTTAGTAATGGCTTCAAAGAAGTTGAACCATTACTTTCAGGCGCACAAGATCGTGGTTCTAACATAACATCCACTGAAATCCTTGTTGCAACAAGGAGACTTAATAGGAAGGATAGCAAGATGGGCAGTAGCCCTGGGTCAGTATGACCTGGAGTTCAGGCCGAGAACAGCAATCAAAGGCCAAGTTTTGGCCGACTTCGTGGCAGAATTCACGCCCGAAACCATCGAACATCGGGCTCCGTTGAGCCAGGATGAGCATTGTCCCAGCAAGCAAGGAGAATCCCAGCCAAAGGCAAAAGAGCAAAGGAAGGAAAAACTCAGACCCTGCAGCATCTACATCAGCGACTCATTCAGACTGTTTGTCGATGGAAGTTCAAACCGACAATGAGCGGGAGCAGGAGTACTGCTGATATCCCCAGATGGAGAAATTATAGAACAATCTATCCGTTTAGGGTTTAAAGCCTCAAACAACGAAGCGAAATACGAAGCATTAATTGTAGGGCTAAAACTGGCAGCAGCAGCAGAAGCAGATGAGGTAATTGTTTTTTGTGATTCACAACTTATTGTTAACCAGTCAACAGGAGAATTTGCAGCCAGAGACGGAAGGATGTCGGCATATGCAAAAGAGGTCATCAGATTGGCAGCCCTATTTCAGAACTGCCGACTACTCCAAGTTAGCCGAGATGACAACACGTATGCCGATGCGTTGGCTAACCTGGCAAGTTCAATGCAGACTGGAAAAACAAGAACAATTATGATCGACTATATGTCGGGCCCGAGCATAGAACCAGAGAGCGAAGAGCAGCAAGCAATGTGTGTGGACATGAGACCAAGCTGGATGGATGCAATTGTTGCATTCCTGAAAGAAAGAAAGCTGCCAGAAGATCGTAAGGAGGCACACAAGGTCAGACTGAAATCGGCAAGATTCAGTTTGACAAAAGATGGACACCTCTACAGAAGGTCCTTCACTGGACCACTTTTAAGGTGCGTACACCCTCTGCAGGTTGAAGATTTTCTTTATGAAATTCATGAAGGAATTTGTGGAAGCCATGCTGGGGGCAGATCATTAGCCCACAGGGCCATTACCCAGGGGTGTTGGTAGCCCTACATGCAAAAAGATGTTGAAGCCTACGTGAAGAAGTGTGAACAATGCCAAAGGTTTGCACCTTTGATACATCAGCCAGCTGCTGACCTGAACCCAGTATCCAGCCCTTGGCCGTTTGCCCAATGGGGCATGGACCTTGTTGGGCAACTTTCCCAGGCAACTGGGTAGAGAAAATACTTGCTGGTAGCAACAGATTACTTTACGAAGTGGATAGAGGCAAAACCTCTTGCCAAAATCTGAGATGTGGACGTCAAGAACTTTATATGGAGAAACATCATCACCAGATTTGGGATTCCAAGAGCAATAGTTGCCGACAACGGAACACAGTTTGACAGCAAACTCATCAAGAACTTTTGTGCGAAATTCAAGATCAAGAATTACTTTTCAACACCAAGTTTTCCCCAAAGTAATGGGCAAGCAAAAGCATCCAACAAAGTAATTTTGGATGGAATAAAGAAGAGGCTGCAGGCAGCAAAAGGAAAGTGGGTAGACGAGTTGCCCAACGTGCTTTGGGCATATCGGACTACGCCGAGAAGATCAACAGGGGAATCCCCCTTTGCCATGGCTTATGGCACAGAAACTGTTATCCCATTGGAGATCGGCATCCTAGGGATCAAGACCCAGGGAGTAGAAAATGGCACCAATGACATACTCTTAGCCCGAGATCTGGATCTTTTGAAAGAATGAAGAGAGAAAGTTACAATTCAGCTCGCAGTATACCAGTAACAGCTTGCTAGAGCTTACAACAAGAAGGTCAATCCAAGATATTTTCAAGTCGGCGACCTAGTCCTGAGAAAAGTCGTCGGCAACAAGAAAGATCCCAGAAAGGGCAAGCTTGGCCCAAACTGGGAAGGACCCTACAAAATTACTTCGGTATTAGGCAATGGAGTTTATCGGCTAGAAGATAACGAGGGCAAAGCACTGCCAAGACCTTGGAACACTTGTAATTTGAAATTCTTCTATCATTAGATATGCAGTATTTTTGGCCGATGTCATCAATAAAATCTTTTCCCTTTTCTTAAAATACATATATTTGATAAAGTTACATATTGGTGTTTTTGGAGACATGAACAATGAGAACCCAAGTATAACTCAGGTTCACATTGGGGGCAGAGAGAAGACAGAGATTATTCCTTAATTCACTTGTTGAAATTTATAGCAATTTACAAGTTGGAATTAAGTAGATTCCTTATCTTCACTTGTTGAAATTTATAGCAATTTACAAGTCGAAGTTAAGCCGAGATTATTCCTTAATTCACTTGTTGAAATTTGTAGCAATTTACAAGTTGGAATTAAACTGATTCCTTATCTTCACTTGTTGAAATTTGTAGCAATTTACAAGTCGAAGTTAAGCCGAGATTATTCCTTAATCACTTGTTGAAATTTGTAGCAATTTACAAGTTGGAATTAAGCTGATTCCTTATCTTCACTTGTTGAAATTTGTAGCAATTTACAAGTTGAAGTTAAGCCGAGATTACAGTTTCTCTTCACTTGTTGAAATTTGTAGCAATTTACAAGTCGAAGTGAAACCGAGGTTATTGTTTGCACACTTATAGCAATCTACAGGTTGGTCCAACCAAAAAAGATGCTTAACACTTGTTGAAATTTGTAGCAATTTACAAGATTATGTTAAGCCAACATGTGATCATCTGTTGAAATTTGCAGCAATTTACAGGTTGAGGTAAAACCTAAGTATATTGTTTAAACACTTGTTGAAATTTGTAGCAATTTACAAGTAGATCATTGATATAACCTGAGAAAAATTTACAGTATATGTTAACACTTGTTGAAATTTGTAGCAATTTATAAGTAGGTTAGACCGAGATCACTGTTTAAATACTTGTTGAAACTTGAAAAAAAGTTTGCAAAGTTGACATTGAATAGTATAGGTTTTACACTTGTTGAAACTTATGAAAAGTTTGTAGGTCAGTATCCTGCCGAAGTAAAACTTGTAGTTATTAAACCCGAGATATGTGACCCCAAGAAGATTGCACAAAGGTGGCAAGATATGAAAGGCATACAAAATATTCTAAGTATAGAACCATACAGAAGCAAATCAAGAGAAATTAAAAGATTGAGGCATCCATAGAAAAACAGTTACAGTTGTATACAAAAGAAGGCACTACGGCCTACCAGAAGTAAATTGTTTCGAAGTAACAAAGAAAGGCACATCGGCCATGAGAGGAAGCTTACATTGTCCAGAAAACAAAACAAAGTACAAGGGTGCAAAAGAAAAGACATGAAAGTTAAGACTTCTTAGCATCAACATCTGGCTGGATCTGAACCTCAGAAGTCTCCTGAAGAGATACCTCGGCTTCCTCACCTGCAGCAATCTCGGCGTCGATCTCAGCAAGGGTTTCATTAACGCTCTTGCCGATTTGAGGAACATCAGATGATGCTTGCTCAGGGGTGGTCTCCTTGATAACCTCCTCGTCCTCCTCATGAGTCAAGTCTAGGACTTGATCATCCTGAGGAGGGGACTTGGTCTCACTAGCGTCTTTAGGCTTCCTTACCAAAGCCTCATCATCATCCTTATCCTCATCCTCAGATTCAGACTCAGATTCATCTTCAGGCTTGGAGGTGGAGGAAATGGAAGAGGAATAGCGTCGACTTGGCACAATGGTGAATTCTCAGGGAGATTAAGTTTTTTTGCAAGGGCCATCCAACCAAGGGAGAAGCCCCTGTTGCACGCCTGCCTGACTTGTAGTTTGTATTCTTCTGTAACGTCGGCCATTCCTTGAACATAGGCCTCTTCATCGGCCGCCTTAATCTCAGCATCTTTGGTAACTAGGGCCTGCTGAAGCTCTTTTTCCGCTTGGGCCTTTTTTACCTCGGCCTCTCTCTTCTCGGCCTCAGCAACCTTCTTAATGGCCTCGGTAGACTCCACTTTTTCTTCGGCCATCTGTTGGGCCTTGGTGGCGGCCTCAGCTTGGTCCTCCAGTTTTTTCATCTTTGATTCAAGAGTTTTGTTCTCCTTTTTCAGGGCAGAAACCTCCCTCTTCATGTCGGCCAATCTTTGCCGATTTTCAAAAGATTGCATTGAAAACGAATGGGCATGCTGGATGGCCTGAAAGAAAACAGAAGTATTAGAAATTATTTTAAGTATGGAACAGAAAGAAAGTCAAAAGTTCAAAGCAGGAGCACTTACTTGAACGGAGTGTTGGAGCATTAAAGCGTAGTTCTCATACTCACTATACTTTCTCATACTCACTATACTCAGCATTTCGCTCCAGGTCCCCTGGAAGGAGAAGAGCGGCGCTAAGGGCGACGCCGACATTAATGTCGTCGGCGCTTTCACTAGACATGATTGGCCTATCCTCCAAAGTAATCTTGAGGGCCCAGGGGACGTCGGGTTTTTTGGACCCCGAAGCCGTTACAGAGGACGACCTCGCTTTCTTTGACTTTGAAGATTCTGTTGGCTGTGTTTCAGCCGACCTTTTCGTAGAAACAGTCTTCTCACTTCCAGCCAATTGTGAAATTGGCAGAGCATCTTCATTCTCAACTACAGTGGCTTTGGCCTTTGGCTGAGCCTTTTTGGTTTTTTTTGGCTTTGGTGGGGGCATGGATTGGGTTGGTTTAGCATCAGCATCAACTGGGAGGTCGGTTAGGAGATCTTGGGCAACAGGCTTCGGGCGACCCATCTCAGCAGTCTTGATAAGTCGTCGCCGACGTTTTCTTTCTGGTATTGGGATTAAGTATGAATGAAAGTTGCCGAGATAAGGCAACGGTTACAGACACGACGGAACGGCGAAACCCTCGCTGAAATGGAAGAATGAAGATGGTTGCAGAGCTTGAAGCTAGAGTAATGGCGGATTTGAGAAAGTTTAAAAGAGAGAGAAAGAAAATCGAGTGCAAAAGTAAAGAAGTAAGGACGGAAAGAAAAGTTTTATCAAAAAACTTGAAGCGGCAGCAAAACACGGCATTTATTTTGCCTGGAGGAACGCGTGCGTCAGACAGCGCAGACGGATGAAAGACGGCTTACAAGCGCGTCACAGACACGGGCCAATGAAGATAGAATGCATAAGGGAAACGGTTGAGAAGAGGTGCATGACAGCTCATGCGCGTGTGGGAGTTCATTTGAGTTCTTGTTCTCTGATAAAGGCATGTCGGCCTAAAATGAATGATCTCGGCCGAAGAGTTCTTACGTCGAGGTATTGAGAGAAAATACAGATATAGGTTCCATTACCTAAAAATGGAGGTAATAGAACCTAGGGGGTAGTTGTGGGGATGTATTTTCTGAATACCAACACGTGGCATGGTGACGCCGACGTGTTGGCCGAGGTGCCACGTGTCGTGGTAGTTGTGCTGAGGTTATCTTGGCGAGGCCGAGGTTATCTCCGAAGATATCGGAATCCGAGATAAGCGGATAAATGGATAAGGGGCAAGAGTCCTGGAGAAAAGAGAAGACTTTGCTAAGACAAGGATAAAGCTCTTAGGGAGTTTATTTTTATCTATTGAGGAGTCCAAAGTTGGCACTGAATTGGAGTCCATAGAAGTCAGGCTTCTATTGGGACTAGGTTTATGTTGGCTATAAAAGAGAGGCACCCCTATAGGTCTAAGGTATGCTTTTGATACTCAAGCTTGTGAGTTTAGCACTTGATTTATCTTTGAGAGATATACTGACTTGATCGTCGGAGTGCCCCCGGGTGGACGAACCACCGCCGGAATCTTCTCTTTCTGTTACAGGTCAGCCAGGTGCCATCTATTCTGCCGGTGCTCTTCAACTGGTTACTAAGCGGGCAGTGTGGTCAGAAAATTACCCCACACTCACAAAATACATCTTTGTTAGTAACTTCTCAAACGTATTAGTTGTTAAAAAAAAAAAAAGGAAAAGAAAGAAGAAGAAGAAGTAGTTAAAAAGTCACAAAAAGTCAACTATAAACAATCAAATAGATTCAGGCGAATTTTTTTTAATAAGACTAATATGACAATATTATTAGAAAGTAAACTTATTTTCATAAACATTTTATGCTATTTTAAAGTGATATAATCTATATTGATTCACATAAATTATTACTCTTAAAAAAGGAAAATGAAATACTAACAATGTAATATTGGAAATATGATAATAAGTGTTTTGAAAAAATATTAGTTAAAAAAATGTTATAAAATTCGTAAGGTATTGTGATTTTAGTGAAAAGTGTGGAAATTAACACATTTTTCTTCTTTTTCATGTTCCACACTTGTTAGTATACGAATATAACTTTTGTACAAAAATTTCATACTTTGGTAACAATTAAAAGATCACATTTTCTCCCGCTTTTTATTGTCTTTTATGACTATATTTAAAAAAAAATTGTGTCAACTTTTATTTATTTATTTTTCAACTTCTTCTAAATCAAAATGATCTAAAAGAAAATATTTTCGAAAAAATCATTTAGCATTTCCTTTATTTTCTCTTTTTGTATTTAACATATTTTTTTTTCAATTTTTTTTTTTTCCAAGTCTATCTGGTCTAATAAGATTTAAAATTGAAAAGTTTTTTTTCAAAATTTTAATTTTTAAATTTTGTTTTTTTACTTGTAGACAATTGCTAACAAGTGTCCCTAATATTAATCTTTTCATTTTAAGTAATAATATTTATAATTGTAATTTAAAATTATAAAAATGTTATTATCACGTCATTCCATATCAACTTTAGGGAAATAACAATTCGGAGTATACAATCAAAAAAAAGTTAATAAAACATAATGGCCATAACTCTTTATGAAGTGGGGTGTAATTCAAAAGCTGTGAAGTGTAACCCCTTCATGTAATTCTCCCAAACTTTATGCATAAAAGTTCTTCCATAAATCATTTGAAAAAAAATAACCTTAACCCATTGATCTTTACCCTTTTTAGAAGCATGTGATTTTCTTTGTTTGTTTTCCCACTTTTGTTCTTATCAATCTTGTACCACATCAAGATTCTTCACAGAAAATGTTTGAAACTTTAAATTTTTTTAATAATTTAACTCACAGTGATATATTATGATAGGTGTCAATTTTTTATTTGTTACACATCTAATGATTGAAGACCCAATTCTCTTACCACATCATTGTAGTGAATTTGTACGTCAAATATATGATTGTCTAACATTACTCGATTCTTCTCATTTTGGAAGTAACTAAAATAGTTAAAAAGTTATAACAAATTGTCACGTCACTTTCTATACTATTTTACACGTATTTTTATAAAAAAAATAAAAAATTAACTAAAATAATCAATTCTCAAACAAATAATGATTTTGAAATTTGCCCTCCCCATAATTTCCATAATCTTTTTCCACATCTGTCCTCATGTCCACGGTGCCATTGGTATACAGTTATTGAGTAATACACATAGAGAAAAATTATACCTAAAATTAATACATAATAAAATAGTAAGTCTTAATTTCATTATTTTAAAATTATCAAAATGGATTATAATTTAAAAAAATGTTACTGTCACATTATTTCAATAAAAAATTATTTATAAATATTCTATATGAATATTATTTTTCATCATTTAAAGTAAGAAAAATAACAAAATATTTAAAATTTTATTAGATTTTTATCTATTCCAAAATATTTTTACATAAAATTTACAGACATTATTATTCAATTTTTACTGGTATATTGACATTTCAAGTGCCATTAGTAATTTCCTTTCAACCATAAGAAGAAAATCATAACAAGGGTTTGACAGAAAGGTTTTCACTGAAAAGACTAACATTGATAGTTTTAGAAGCTTTTACATTGGCGAATTAGTGTGTACATGTTGCATTATATTGATAATGATTGACTTTTTAAGAAATGATATGAAAGTGAATGATGTTTGTAAAATGAACAGTTAATCCACACCGAAATAAGTCATTTTGCATGTCTATCTATCTACTATGAGTGTGTTTGATTGGGAGATTATTTATTATACGAATTGTAATTTAGGAAAAATATTTAATCCGTCGTTTATTTTTTTTTTTTAATTTGCCGGACTCCTTATCCTCCATATGGGGGACTATTGTATCCTGGAGGGGGGTATGAGACAATTTTTGGGAGCCTATCCACTGTAGGGATTAGGTGGTAAAATGACTCTTTTGACCCTCTACTATTTAATTATGTATTATATTTAATAAAATTCAATAAAATTTAAATGTCTCAATTTAAAAATAAAATAATTTTATTTAACTTTTTATTGATGTTTTATTTATTTAATTTTTTAAAATAATTTTTTATAGATATTTTATTGATGTTTTATTTTAAAATTTTGTTTATGTTTTATTTAATTTCATTGTTTAAATTTAATAGATGTTTTAATAGATGTTTTATTTAAACAATTAAATGTTTAATTTCAACAATAAATAATTTCATTTATTTAAATTATGTTTTATTTAAACATTTAAACATTTGTACATCAACATGTTTATTAAATTATTTCAACATCTGTACATCAACATGTATATTTATTTAACATCTATTAAATTATGTTTTAATACATCAACATTTGATTACATCTACATTTGTTAATTGTTAATTACATCAACATTTGTTAATTGTTTAAACATAATCTATACATCAACATTTATTTAATTGTTAATTGTTAATTGTTTAAACATAATCTATACATCAACATTTATTTAATTGTTAACTGTTAATTGTTTAAACATAATCTATACATCAAAATAATTTCAATGTTAATTGTTTAAATAAAAATTTAAACATTAA